CACACTTTCAAGGGACTGGTTTTTGGAGAGAGAAAGAGAGAGAGAGAGAGAGAGAGAGAGAGAGAGAGAGAGAGAGAGAGAGAATTATCAAATAAAGAAAAGGAAACAGTAAAAACCTTCACAAATCCTAAACATAACCTTTATTCTTCCCTTAGAATCAAAGAACATAACCATTATTCTGTTACTCTCACTAACACCAGAACATCTGAAGGCAGCAGCTCAAAGTTCCAAACACACGTTTCAGATTCAAGGTAAGTCTTTCTGGCTTTGCATTTTTTTCATTCAGAACATCATTAGTATGTAAAAATCATAATTAATGTTGTTTATATCATTGCATACGTAGAAAAAATGTGGATCAGACTTACTTGATTAGGGCTAGACTCAGATTTAGGATTATAACTTCTATAAACTATTGTGCTGATATCCTTCTGATTTGCTGTTTATTAAGAACTGAATAAATTGGTGATGTGCTGATTACGAGTTGAAATATGGCGTAGAACTTCTGATGTTCACTCACAGTTTTAGCACAACACAGAACTTCTGATGTTCACTCACTGTTAATGCACACAGAATTTCTGATGTTCACTCACTGTCTTAGCACAAACTGAACCTCTGAGTTCTCTTCACTATTTTAATATACAGAAATTCTAATATTTTCTCATTGTTCTAACACTCAGAAGTTCAACACATAGCAATCCAGAACTCCTGTGTTTTCCCTCTAACGTGTCTTGCAGGACTTCAAAGTGTATCAATCCAGAACTTCTGACGCTTCCTTCTGAATCACCACGCGCCTGGCTTCAGAACTTCTGATCCTTGTTGTTTTGCTTGCAGCAGCACGCTGTTTCTATCTTTCATTTATTTTCCTTTTTTGTCATTTTTAATAATAACCCTTTTTTTATTAATGTAAAAAAGACATAAAAATATTTTCTTTTATTAATTAATTTATTTATTTTTTCTTAATTCATTAAGACAAAAAACCATTTTCTAAACAAGTCTTTTTTATTTCTCACATTGTACATTTCAATATGGTTGTAATAGTTAAATAGGATTTAAATTCTTGCAATCCCCCATTCATAAATATGTACCCCCATCCCTCTAATGATTGTAATAGTGTAGGATATCTACTTTCCGCACCTTTTTATTGCTTTCATATATTGTTAGTAATTAGGGCGTGTATGGCAAGACAGGAAATCAACAAATAGATAACCCGAATCAAGACTAAAAATGCATACAAACAAACACACTTGCACACTAGCACCCTTAGGGTAATCCCACCTTGTTGCCTATCGTAAATTAGTCATGTCCCTCGAACATGGGCATTTTAGCAAAAGACCCTTGATAAAAGATCGTAGTCCCTCGATGACCCTCGATGTTACCTTCGATAAACGATCTAGTCCCTAAAACGACATTGCTAAAACATTCCATGGGTTTCCTTCTATGACTATACAAACGTCCCACACTCGTCCCTTCACATCCAACGATAGGGCTTCTCACCAAATCAAATGGTAAGATAGCAACATCTAAAGGAGTAGGAAAATAACATCTAAGACCTTTTGAGTAGGTAGATTCGCTCCTAGTTGCTCGCTTGCTCACAACAAAAACATTTTTATACACCCACACTTTCATTTTGAAAACATTTTCGAAAGACAACACTTTGTACGCGTTCTTATAGAGACGAGAACCATTACAAATACATCTTTTCAAAATTACTTTCAGAAAACACATTTCACAAACACATCTTTGAACTATTTTCAAAACAAACACTTTGTTCGCGTTCTTATAGAGACGAGAACCATTACAAAGACGTTTTCAAAAATACTTTCAAAATCCACACCATAAGCACACTCAAACAAAAGTAAGTGATCTAGAAAATAACTAAGAGCCCATGGAAAACCATGGTTGGAAAGGGTGCTAACACCTTTCCTTTTCATAATCTACCCCCCGAACTCAAGAAAACATCTCTAAAGGTCTTTCCTGTGCTTTTTCACCTTTCCTTATTGGATAAAAGAAAAGTCGGTGGCGACTCTTTCTAAACCGCAACATTTGCGAATACAAACGCAAAACAAAAAATTCATTTCTCCCACCGTATCACATGTAGGAACGGGTCCTAGTTAATCGATCATTCAGGATTTAGACTCTTTTCAATACTAACTTCATGCAGAACATGTAATCCATCCTAAACCCTTTCTTGAATATCAATCTCTTCAATCCTTCATTCTCCTCCTGACTTCTACCACCACCTTGGTGAACTGGTTTATGTATTCTCGCAGTGTTTATTTTATCTTTTGTTGGACCCCATTAAGTATGAATATCATACTGGGTTGCACTTTCGGGGAGTGAATTGGAAAGTAAAGGAGTCGCAAAGCTCCTTCCATGAACTTATCCAACTGTCAGGCAGGGTCTTGAGCCACGTCATACCCACTCTTTTAAGAGTTAGTATAAACAACTTACACTTCACAACTCATTGAGCATGGTAGTAGTTAAGAATGTTGTTTAAGTGTTCAATGTGTTCATCTGGATCTCCCATTCCATTATAGTTTTCCAACTTAGAGGTTTCTCGATGGTCTTTGGAATCATACTGTCGACGATTCACCCAAATAGAAGTATCCTCCTCTGGTGTCACAATGATCGGTAGGGGATAAGACTTCTCATTTGAATGTGACTATCATATTTCCATGCAGAATTATGCAGAGGAGACTAGTGTTCTCGGTGGCTGATACAACCTGGTGATCTAAGGACTCTTTCTAACGGGGAAATATTGTCAACAATGATCGGTTTAGGTGTAGCTATCTACTTCATGTATGGAGTTTTCCATGAATGGGGCGTACTATAGATTTTCTTCAGTGCAAAGCAATATCTCGGTCAAAAAGCGCAGATTGTGCTGCTGCGCCAGGTTGTAAACACTGATGAGTAGATCGTTAGCCCATTGCATGTGTAAGTAGTCTTGATGTTATTAGAGGCTTTGAAGGATCTCTCATCCAGTGATTTGTGGCGCTGACTAAGGTTGCTTTGAGGTATGGGCTTGAAGTAGTTACTGGGAAAACTTAATGGTTGGGAGAACTTCGAACGTACCCTGTCCGTTCTTCAAAGGAATTGGATTCAAGAGAGTAGGAGCAGAAAGAGAAGTAATTAGGACCAGACCTTCCTCGACTGTAAGATGAATTGAAATCTCGATCTCATGATCAAGAGTGTTAACTATCATGGAAGATACAGCGTCGGCGTTGCATTGGGAAACTAATCAAGTAAATTTCAATACTCCCATGGCTTTCACGAGATTGATTGATTGTTCAAATAGAAAGAAGATCGTCTGTTGCTAAATTGCGATAGAAAAATAATGATTTCACGTGGAGATTTGAGGGTATTAGACGTGAATCCCCACATACGGCGTCAATGTCTCGTTATAGAACCATGAACATGAAATGAGATCATAGGAAGATCTTCCGATACGGTAGTGCATGCTTCTGATACGTCAAAGTGGGTTGGACCTACAAGATTAGCATTGCAGCACCCAACTTAGAATGAAAGTGAAAAAGATACCTAAAACTAGTGCACATGAAATGTATATAAGGTGAAAGGTTAAACCACTTTTGTTTAACCCGAGGTATTGTGTGGATCGTCATTCAATTAGATTTGACTATCGAAGATAAATCAGAGGTTAGATTCACATGCTTTATATTTTGCTGCGGTCTCACTTATCTGTTTGCGATAGGAGTGACAAAACGGATCGTTAATCTCGCCCCGCCTTAAGCCCGCCAAAAAAAGAGCAAAGCGGGCAAGCTCGCCACGTCAAGGTGGCGGGTTGGCGCGCGGCGGACTTACCCGCCTATTTTTTTATATTTTTTTTCTTCATTTTTTAATAGATTAACCGTTCTTTTTTTACATTTCAATTAGACTTTCCACTTATTTTTTAAAATATATTTTTTTATAAAAATACTCTTTAAATAAATTTTACTTAAAAAAGTATTGTACATATTCACAAATAATTATATAAAATAAAATTATTAAAAATTAAAATGATTAAAATTAACTAAAAATTACAAACTTAAAGCCGAGAAGGCTGAACTAGGGGTGTTCGCGGTGCGGTTTGGGCGGTTTTGAAGCAAAAAATCATCTGAACCGCAAGAGAGAAAAACATGCGGTTCGATTTGGTTCGGTTGGCTTTTAAAAATAAATCCGAACCAAACCAAACCAAACTAATGCGGTTTGGATTGGTTCGGTTGTTTCGGTTTTTTACAAAAATAATTATTATGTCATACATACAAATATATAGGAAAATATAATTTTATATTTAATTGTTCATACATTACCATAAAAAATTTATAATTGTCAAAATAAATTTATAATTTGATACATAAAATTGCGTATTATAATTTTATCTAAATCTAAATAATGATATCAACAAGATTGCATTCTTAAATAAATATTATACAAAGAATATGATAAAATATATTTTGTGAAAATAGTATTTATAAATGAATAATATTTTATTTTTTATGATTTGTAAATTAAAATGAATATAATACAAAATATGATAAAATATACCCATAAAATACATGTTGATTTCTCTAAAGAATTATAGAAATATATATTGGTTAGTAAGATTTTATAACATAACACGGTTTTGTTTGGTTTAGTTCGGTTTGTAAAATACAAACCGCAAACCGAACCGAACCATGCGGTTCCACGAGAAAATGACCCAAACACATCTGAACCAAATGCAGTTTTTTGTGGTTTCGATTTAGTTCGGTTCGGTTTTGCAGTTTTCTATTGGGCCGATTTGATTTTGAACACCCCTAGACTGAACAAATGTACGGAATAGACTTTGGTGTACGATAAATTTTGACGAGGCAGGTATTAATGGAAGGCGGATCCAAATTCTAATTCATTATATTATTTTTTGGCGGGTTCGCAAACTGGATTTTCTAAACACCGAAGGAACCGTTTTCGTGTTCATACAAAGTACGAGAAACAGCAATAACAACCTCTTTGGAACAAACACAATGAATACACTTCTTCTCAGAAACATCTCAATCCACGCACGCCGTCTTCGTCTCTCTTATCCCTACAAATCTTCACCTTCACTTCTCACTCTTTCCCAACCCACCTCATTCTTCTCTTCTCGTAGTGATATTGACCCACCTCCTTATATCCCACGTACCCATGACAACAAACAACAACAACAACAACCACTAGATGTAGAAGAAATAAGCAACGAAGGTAAAATTACAAACTCCTCTTTGGGATTTGGGTTTTTTTCTTATAATTTTTTGTGTGTCCCCCACCTGTTTGATATAATGCTTCTGTGAATTTTCATGCATAACTTGGTTTTTCAAGCATTGCTTTTAAAACCCTATTTTGAACTTGCAATATACGTTATGTCATAGTTTAATATATTGAATTAGTCTTTTTGTGATTTTCATAATTGGTGTGAAGTTTTAATTTTTGTGTGTGTTTGTGTTGAAGAGTTGAAGAGGCCTAATTTTGTATAATGCTAATAAGAATTTCACAACATAACTTGGTTTGTAAAGCAATATTTTAAAACCCCTATTGGAATATTCTAAGCATATGTTTATGTTTGGAGCATCCAAAATTGATTCTCGATATGTAGAATTCATTTTAATGTATAACTTTTGAGTCTACTTGAAATTAGGATTAATAACTTTTGAATCTAAACGTGATTTTTACACTGAAATTTAGTGTTCTACTCACTTTTACGGAAATTTATCTAAATATAAATCACTTTACTTTCAACTAACTTTTAGACAAAATCAATTTTATAGAATCAGTTTCTTTACTGCAGAACCAAATACTCGCTAATATATTGAATAAGTTTGGGTTTTTTAAAATTGGTTATGTTTTGATATTTACTTTGAGTTCATGTTGAAGTGTTTGAAGAGGACTAATTTGGTATAATGTTTTTGTGCTTTTCACAATAATAAATAGACAAATGTGACTATAGTTGAATGGTAAAATTTATCTTTGCCAAGATGCTGGTTCAATTCTCACTATCCACATTTGCTTGTGAGGCTTTGTTTTTTATGCAATGTTTTAAAAAACCCATTTCAAGTATTCAAATATACTGTTGTGAAATTGATGTGAAGTTTTGATTTTGATTTTTGTGTGTTCATGTTAAAGAGCTGAAGAGGCGCGTTGCGAGGCTTAAGGAAGGTGATGATGATGCAATTCCAGCTGTGTTTGAGGCAGTATTGCAAAGATATTTGACAGGGAAACCTATTGATGCTGACCAAGATTTGATGAGAGAGATTCTAGGGAAGGGGACAGTGTCAAAAGATGATGATGAGGAAGACAAGTACGAGTCCGATTCTGATTTTGATTCTGATTTGGAGGGAATGAGTGACACTGATTTTGAAGAGGAAGAAGATTGTGTTAAATCAAAGATTGGAGCCAATGAAGAAAAGACTAAGATGAAGTGATGGATGAATGAACTTGCATCTGCCAAATGCATTTGTAGCATAGATTAAAGAAACTTATTCTATTGTCTAGAGTTGAATAAGTATGGAGGCAAGTCAATGTGATTGCTTTGTAAGTCAACTCGTCAGTGTTCGTTTGATCGAAATTAAGCTGTTAGTTTTTATAACTAATTTTGATAATATTTAAAACTCAAAACACTCAATTTAAAATCTGGATTGTTTGATGTTAATTTGATTGTCACTACTGTATCGACCGCCCGTGTGAATGTAGGAGATTGTCCTCCACGACATAATCACACAATAACACTAGTATGATTTTGAGGAAAAAAAATGAAAATATGATCAATTTACAATTTTGTTGAAATCATGAGGTCTCTGCCAATAATATCCTTCGCAGTTATGGTCCCTACTTTTAGATAGAAAAATACAAAATATAGGAAGAATAACTTTAGGCAAGTCCTATAGCACTTGCCTCTAGTGTCACCAGTAGCTAACATTCTCTTTACCATTTCCGAATCTTGAATGTGAAAACACCCTTTACAATTGCAACTAAAAATTCCTTGATAGCTCAATGCCCAAAACTAAAGAAAAAGAAACGCTTTCATACTGCACCATACCAATCCTATAAACCAGTTATTAGTATTGTAAGTATTTTTCATCTTCAACAAATACATATAAGATGGTAAATTCATCTCAAATTCAAGATCCAAACATAAAGAAGGAGAAATTGATTGAGTTCCTTTGTAGTTGTTGCTTGCTATGTGTGTGTTGTCCACTATGTTGTTTCATCAAACCATCATGTAGAATATGTCATCAGGCGCTGCGGCGTGCGTGGCGGTGGTCTTGTTATGGACGGAAAAATAAGGTGTTTGCAGATTATTCTTCATTTTCTGACCGTGATTAAGATATCAATTAAGGTAAGGTTTGTGTTTAATGTATTATGTATGTGTTTCAGAAAACAATGTTGATAGAGTTCAGTTTCGATTGTTGCTATGAATAAGTAGACTGCAACTGCATCACTCAAGAACTTGAGTTCAGTTTGATTTGTTCACTATATGATTATCTTATACTTCAATTTATTTATGATTAATATTTCATATTCCAAAATTTAAGTGCATGATGATATTGAATAACATAGTAGTTCTAGTTATAAAATAGGAATTTGTAAAAAGAAATTGTCAGTTATAAGATAGGAATTTGTAAAATTTTTTTTGTCAAGAATGGAATTTGAATCCACGCCCTTATGGACCAAATACTTAAAACTGACGTCTTAGACCAACTCAGCTATCTTAACTTGTGCGCCAAATTTTCATTTTTAATTATAAATACTCTTTCCGAGTGACACGAAAGAAGAAGACATATGCAAGGATTTAGCATCCAAAATAATCATTGTATCTCTATTATAATGAGTTATTTCAAATGATCCTAACATTTTTACGAAATTTTATCATTTTTAATATGTCTTCTTCATGACTCATATCATTCTGATATGAATTGTCCAATACTCTATTATTTAATTGCAAAATGTGATGTTATTGCAAGGACTGATTCATAAATTTACGATCCCGTCTATTCTAAGGCTTGACTCCCCGTAAAGTACAACAAAGAAGAAGTAGCAATCAAACCCAAACACCTACAAATCCCGACTCAACATCCATCTTATAAATAACCTATTTCAATGCATGAGAAAAAGTAAGACAATAACTATAAGATTTACTTTTCACAATGAAGTGAAGATAGGTGTTGTGAGGACTCTCTAACAACCTTGCATCCCAAAACCAACACTTCATTTGTCCCATGGGTATAAGGTCTTTTGTTGATGGTTTTAAAATGCTTATGATGTGGCTTTCGACCTTTCCCATCCCACAAAGTAACACGAACCAGACTGCCGAGATGATGACATATCTGATTCATAGCTTGAATACTCATGCACGTTTCACCCATCCATTACTCGACTATCCTGAAAGTCTCCTCCAATACTATAAACAAATCCCGATCACATTCAATGGCTTTCCGTATTGCCCTTTTACATTCGTCACTACAAAAGTGTAGTATCTTGGATGAGACACCATACGAGAATAAGAAGGTCTCACGTTACATAAAAATAAACATGTTGAATAAGATAAGCCAATAAGAAGTTCATATAATTAAGAAACCAACATCAAAGTAGTCTATGAAGTAGACACTTGAAATGTAGCAAGCAAGAAGGACCTCATGCTCCACATTCCCCTCCATTAGGCTCTGCATCTTCTGCTACAAAACTTCTCTCTTTTATTACACCACCAACACAGGAAAATATAATTGATAGTATAATGCAAAATGTAACAAAAATCATCTACAAAATTGCTTAAGCATTTGCAAAGAAACCAAAATTTGTATCCAAATTGTTCAACTCTCTCCATTCTCTAACCATTTGTTCTCTCTTCTTTATAGCTTCACTTTCAAATAATAGTTAGCACATTAGCATGTGCTTCTTGCATAAGCCAAAGTCAATATACTAAATTTAATGAATAAATAAATAAAAAAAACACATTTTTTCTGCAGTAAGTCCTCGAGATACTCTTAAAGAGGGAGTATCTGAGGTCATATACTCCACATACATTTATTTGATGAAGAAAACTAACAAGTGGAATCTAGCCATATAAATTAAAGTTACTCATCATGTGTTTATTGCATGTAAATGCCTTGGAGTCACACTTGTACATGTTTCATAGATAAAGTTATTACATTGTAGAACTACCTTTTCTTGTAAAGAAAACTAGGACATGTTTGGATTTTACTCACATAAACACTTAAAGATACTATTTGGAGAGTTTACATAAACAACCCATAAATTGTTTTCAGCTTATTTCTATAAATTCTTCAAAATAGTTTTGGAAAATAATTTGTATAAAAGCAATTTTATTTTATTTTATCTTTCTATTTATTTAAATAGTTTATACATAAGCACTTGTATGATGAGTGCTTATATTGAAAGTATTTATCAAACTTCTCATATCAATTACTAGTTTTCTTCAAAGTGTAGTAAATCATTGAGCTTTTTTGTCCTTCAATGGCCCTCTAGGAATTTTTCTGAGATAATTCTTTTCAAACTTCCTATAAATTTTCTTGAGTACTAACATGATATCTTCAAACAGAATGTTAATTTCTTGGCCGCGCCGTTCGAACACAAGTGGCAATGTTTGCATGCATAGAAAGCCTTGTTCATGAATTAACCATCAACAGAAAAAGATAACTTGATTAGTACATAGTGTGAAATAAAAAAGAGAAAAAGGAAGAGAAAAAAAATAAGATCTGGTTACCGATGTATAGAAGATTAACAAAGCTGAAGTAGCTTCCAATCACAGAGAATATATAGAGGGAAACAATGGTCTGAAATTGTTATGAGAAAATTAGTTCTGAAATTTGTTGATAAGAACTGAATTTTTTTGAAGGGTTAGGTTATATTATATTGGTGATACCATAAGAAAGAGTGGTAGGTTTCTGCCACATGAAATATGGAAAAGTATTGGTAATAACTGGTTGAATCTTCTGTAGAGAATGAAAGCAAGATCATTGAAGAAAGACTCTTGTAAACTAATTTCTGGTATCTCAGGTATTTTCCTGAATATATTCAAAGAGAATCAAAAACATTATCTTATAGTAAATGAAATTAAATGTAACCATTGTGTAGGGTTAATTTAAGTATATGTTAGATATATCATATATATATATACATATATATACCATTTTAATATATCACCAACTTTGAACCAAATGAATAGTACAAGCATCATGGTGATGAAAAATTGACAAATGATTGTCACAAAATTGTACTCAAGGATCTCAAATAGAAACCATATCACTGTCATCCCAAGAAAAAGTGCAGCAGATTCATTTCTGTTCCTCCATAATAATATATCTGCCACTGTAAATGAAGTGAAATTCCCAATTTAGCATAGTCATTTCATTAATTCTTGAAATTCACAATATTTGATATTTCAACACAGTCATAATGTATAATGCATGTATATATAATTATAGTAGGAATAAAAATGATAAGAGAGAAAATAACATCAATGTCATTAGCAATATTAGTGTTGAGTATGAGTTATAATCACTTATTAGTGGTACCTTTTCCTCCTCCAAGAATTTCATGTATAGATTTTTCATGTTCAAAGAGTTTAGTTCTTGTAGAAATTTCATTATCAGAATCATCAGATGATGTATTGTGAGCCATGTAAAGTTTTTATTAACTGATGTTTGTGTCTTGTTGCTTGGTCTTATCACTTATTGATAAATATTTATAAACAAAGGAGGTTCTATGCTGTATGGTAAAGTAAGGAATGACTTGGTGTTTTGTTGAGAATGTCTCTTTAAAAGTCTAAAGTATTAATGCTCATAGATCAGTCTTTTTTCTTAGTAACTAATTTTGGGGATTTTTATGCAGTCCATACTTCATAAGTTGTGAATTTTTTATTGAATAATTGTACTAGTGCTACTTATGTAGGAATAAGAATATGTTTTAAATAAATAAATAAAAATTGTTTTTTTAGAAATTCATCTCTACATATAATGGTTCTATTTGATATTATATTGTAATTTATTTTGGTCGACCTCAAGTCTGCGCCGCTGTGGCTAAAATGAATTATCTGTTTTAGGTGTGACAACTCTTTGGATTGAGGTGTATGAGTGTTGTATATAAACTGCCTTTAATCTCGATTCTCAAGCAATATGAAACTATTTTAACCAGTACAAAACAATTGCCCTCTAGTCGAGGTTAAAGGGCACAATGTCTTATGAAGGTTCTTTCTAGCATGTACGAAAAGTCGTCAACCTCAAATAAAGTCCATTTGATAAGACAATTATTTGCTTTTTGGATGATGGAAGGCACATCAGTTGTGCAATAATGAACTTAATATTGTCACAACAAAATTGAGTTCATTGAGAATCGAATTTGACAATGAGGTATGAGCATTAATACTTTTCTCCTCTCTACAAGACTACATGAATGATACTTGTTGTACCCCAAAATTTATCCTCTCATTTCACATGGGATCACCTTGGATCCTCAAGTTTGCTTCCATCCAATTCCAAGCCTTGAACTACAAATTTTTCAAGAAAATCACTCACAGGGGCAAAATGGTCATTTGCACGCTGGTCTAACTTTGACTTTTGGATCAAAATCAAATCTCAAAAAATCATATTTCATCAAGACATATTGGAATATGAAGTTTGTTTCATCAAGAATTTCAAAGTCAAATTTTACTTTAGAAAAGTCAAATTCTAAATACTTAGAAATTTTTCTAAGTGTTTAAGAAGCATGACAAAACTCAGAACTGTTGACCACATTATCACCATAACGCTCAGCAAATTCTGGACATTCTCAAGGCAGAGTTTGGTCAGAACTTCTGGACAATTTTTCACAAAAAGCTTCAGTCAGAGGTTGCAAACATGGTTCAGAACATGTTACTTCAATCAGAATATATGGAAGCAATGTTCTCCGGTTCATAACATGACGCTTTAATCAGAACATGTGGAAGCAATGTTCTCCTTCAGAACATGCTGGAGCTAGAAGATACAAATATCAGAGGTTGGATGTTACGCTGAAGCTGAACTTCTGATCCAGAACTAAACAATGATGTAGAGTTTCATATGGCAGGGTTTCTGGTTGTGATAAGTCTCATCATCATTTAATGCTCATTTAATACTCACAACCACCTTCTGAGTATTTGTCCAAAGGATTTTCCTCACGTGTACCTCTACTGTCTTGGGATAGCAACTTTGGCACTAAGCCCATACTGTGCTTTTTTGCTTTTCCTTAATTCCTGCTGACAACCACCATGCTTGCTTCAAGAACAAGGCAACACTTTAGCATATGAATGTTATATTCAACGCTTTGGTCAGAACATGACCAAATCCCAAAACCTTGTTTATACAACCTGCTGCAGACCTATAACCAACAGCTAGGTCAGCCTACGCCTGAACCTCATACTTGCATCAAATTGGCATACGAAAACTGTGACTAAAAAGAAATGGAACAGTATACCAAAAAGGTTCAAATCCCATTTGTTTTTCCCTCCAAAATCACAACAAATCCATCTATAAATACTTGGCTCCATCACACGTTCAAGGGGATGGACTTTGAAGGAGAGAGATTGACCAAAAGAAAGAAGAGAAAACAGGGAAAACCTTCGCAAATCTAAAGCAAAAATCTTTTGTTCCTCCTCTTTGAATCAAAGAACATAACCACTGTTCCGTCTCTCTTGCTGACTCAGAGCATCCAGAGGCAGCAACTCAAAGCTCCAAGCCCACGCTCCAGGTTCAAGGTAAGTCTTTCTGACTTTGTTTGTTTTTCATTCTGAACATCATTAACATGTAAATATCATATTATTAATGTTGTACATATCATTTCTTAAGTAGAAAAACTGTGGATCAGAACTCCTTGATTAAGGCTAGGCTCAGATTTAGGATTAGAACTCCTGTAAATTGTTGTGTTATTATCCTTCTGACTTGCTGATTGTTAGGAACTGAATAAATTGCTGATGTGCTGATTGAGTGTTGAAATATGTCATTAAAACTTATGATGTTCATTAATAGTTTTAACACACAGAACTTCTGATGTTCATTCATAGTTTTAACACACAGGACTTCTATGATTTTTCTCACTGTTAAACATACACAGAACTTCTGAGTTCTCTTCACTGTTTTAACACACAGAACTTCTATAATTTTTTTCACTGTTCTAACATTCAGAAGTTCAACACATAGCAATCCAGAACTTTTATGCTTTCCCTCTAACGTGTCTTGCAGAACCTCAGAGTTTACCAATTCAGAACTTCTGATTCCACTGACGTCTTCTACCGAGTCACAACGCTCTTGACCTCAGAGTTTACCAATTCAAAACTTATGATGCCCACTGACGTTTCTTGCTGAGTCACAGCGCTCCTGACGCCGGAACTTATGATCCTTGTTGTTTTGCTTGCAGCAACGCTGTTCCTATCTTGCATTTATTTTCTTTTTCATCATTTTTAATATTAACATAAAAAACATAAAAATATTTCCTTTTAATTTATTTCCTTAAGACAAAAATATTTTCTAAACAAGTCCATTTCTTTCTTATATTATGTATTTCAATATGGTTGTAATAGATAATTAGGACTTAAATTCCTTGCAATCCCCATTCATAAATATGTACCCCCATCCCCTAAATATTGTAATAGCATAGGACTTTACATTTCTACAATTTAATATTTTCCTTATACTGTATAGTAATTAGGGTGTGTATGGCAAGATAAAATCAACAAATAGATCACCCTAATCAAGGATTAAATGCATGCAAATCAAATAAACTATTCACTCATGCACCTTTAAGGTTAACTCCACTTGTTGCCTAAAAAATGGTCATGTTATGCACGTGGGGTGTCTTAGCAAAAAAAATTGAAATACAAGATCATAGTCCCTCGATGACACTATCAAAGTTTCCTTTCAAAATGATCTTAGTCCCTAAAGAAAAGTGATAAGTCATCTCACAACATTGCTATCATGGTCATACGATGATTCAACGCCCGTCCCTTCACATCCAACGATGGGGCTTCTTACCAAATCAATGGTAAGATAACCACATCTAAAGGAGAAGGAAAAACACATCTAAGACCTTTTGAGTAGGTAGGTTCACTCTCAGTTACTCGCTTGCTCACAACAAAAAAACACTTTACACACTTCACAAACACCTCTTTGAACAATTTTCGAAACAAACACTTTGTATGCGTTCTTATAGAAACGAGAATCTTACAAAGTTACATTTTCAAAATACTTTCAAAAACCATACAAAACACATTTTTCAAACAAAAGCAAGTGATCCAGCAAGTAACTAAGAGCCCGTGGAAAACCATGGATGAAAAGGGTGCTAATACCTTCCCTTTTCATAATCTACCCCACGAACTCAAGAAAACATCTCTAAAGGTCTTTCCTGTGCTTTTTCACCTTTCCTTATTGGATAAAAGAAAATATGGTGGCGACTCTTGCTAAACCGCAACATTTGCGAACACAAACGCAAAACACCTCAAGTCAGTTCTCCCACCGTATCACAATACTGTTAAGGTTGTGAGTAGCTTGCCAAGAATTTTAAAAGATGAAATTTGATGATGTTCGTGATCTAGTTTTCAGTGAAGAGATCCAATGGAGGAAGTTCAGTGGATCTTCATCCTCTTCTGTATTACATACACATAAAAGAGGAAGAAATTCAACCAGCGGACTTGACATGGTAAATTAAAGGAAATACTATTCAAATCCAAAAATCATCGTAATTTCCACAACTTCGCAACATTTGAGTGTTGGAATTAAGGAAAGAAGGGGAAATACAAAAATCAATGCAATCTCTCACCATATAATCAAGAGGTAAAACATGAAGCAAGTGTTGTTTCCACCTCAGGAGAAGAAGATACATTTATTTGTTTATTGGAGAGTAAAGAAGAGTCTTGTGTGTTAGGCTCTAGAGCATCCTTTCACGATACTTTTAAGAAACAATTCTTTAAGAATCATGTGTCATGAAACCTCGGTAAACTTTACCTTGGTAATGAACAATCTTATGAGATTTTAGAAAAAGGTGAAGTAATGATTAATTTGAATGGGTCTGTATGGGAATTGAAAAATGTCAGGCATATTCGAGAGATGACAAAAAAAACTTAACTCCATAGACCAGTTAGTTACTGAAGGCTACATGACAGTCTTCATTGGAGATTATTAGAAGATTTTAAAGGGTGCAATAACAATTACTTATAGAAGAAAAAGTGTTACTTCTTACAAGACAACTGGAGCATTCTATTTGATTTCAATTGTAACAAATGAAACTCCTAATATAGGATACAAGAGATTATGTCATATGAGGGAGAAAAGAATGAAAGTTAGGCAGTTAAAAGGAAAACTATCAAGTCTCTGGTTAGTAGAAATCGACATATGTGAAGATTGTATATTTGTAAAGAAGAAAAGAGTTAGCTTTTAGACAAGTGGAAGAAACCCAAAGAAAGAGATACACGACTTATTCACTATGGTATTTAGGGTCCATCATATGTTTCATCCTTTGGTGTAAAACCCTACTTCATGACTTTTCTAGATGATCACTTTAGGAATGTATGAGTTTACTTTCAAAAACATATGTATGAAGTATTTAAGACTTTCAAAAGATGGAAATCCATGGTGGAAAATGATATAGGATGGAAGATCAAAAAGCTCATAACC